CTAATTTTAAGGACATTAAAGTGTTGGTTGATGAAATTAGAGTAATTTTCCAGATGGTTTGTAGTTTGTATATAAACTGGCTCCACTTGAAATGTCAGCGAAACGTCTAGGAATATAGAATGTCACAAGGTCATGGAAACCGAAGAAATCCTTGCATTTACCTAAGTATTTGTCTGATAAGAAATAATCGCTAATTACGAACATGAAAAGGAGCCAAGATGTGCGTTCATTTAACATGAAAATCCAAAATCCAGTGGTGAGAAGCTAAATTCATAAAAGAAGTCAGGTGTTAAATTATAGAGAGGTGAAAGACTTAAACGAAGGAACATATCAATAAGAAGAGTTGGATAAATCATAACAGCTTAGTGTTAATAATTATCGTAAACAATTTGGTGAAGTTATGAAACATGATAGACAAACTAGGCTTACCCTAAGCAGTCTTTCAGCAAAGTTTACTGAGAAATTAAGAAAATAATAGCCTTTAATAATACTAAGGCAGCTCAGCTTGGTCCAATTTGATTGTGTTTAAAACTATAGTAACTAAAACGAAGTATTTCGCTTAAAATATGAGAAGAGATAGGTACAAAATTAACAGAGTAATTATCTACAAAACAAAAGCACAAAATATAAGAAAATGAGGCCAGAAATCAGGAGCCAACTTACAGACAGTCGCATCTTACTCCTTTTGGCCTCTTGTAATTGAGCCCTGTCGAAGTGAGGATTTACACCTAACGGACGAACCTTGTCACGAGTAACCCACTGCCAGGTGCGCTTGGCATCGAAGAACAGTACTAGCACATATCCTACAGATAAGGGAGCAGACAAGAGAGAGTCCTCGTTTGCTGCTGCTGATGTAATAAATGGAGCGGTTGCCATAGTTATTGAACCTTTACTCTGTCCATCCCCTTGTCCAGTTGGCAACGAAGAACACGTATTGATAAAATCTAGAGGAGATACAATGGGTTTGGAAGTGCACGTGGTAATGTCAATATGGCCAGAAGAGGAGTCAAGTTCGACAGAGGCATTAGAAGTCAAGCATTTCGAAGAAGAGGAGGGAGATGAAGTGGTAGTGATAGCAGACGATAAAGAGCAGATATAAGATGGTATGGACGCGATACCAGAATGTGAGATATTTGGTCGACCATTTAAGATATTCAGAGCAGGAGAGGCAGGTCTGGTAATAGGAGAAGCAGATGGGGAACCTATTGAACAGAAAGAAGTGGTTGCAGAAGTAGTAGTTGGAATTATTTGTGACTGAACAACTGGCACCGGGATAGTTGATCGACTGGACTGGGGTCGCACAAATCTAGAAATCTGGTCAGACAAAAGACGACCCGACTCAAGCACCGAAGGCGGAGGCACCGGAATTGGCACACCATTATGAGAATAGCCGTCGCTGGGCGCCGAAGGATCTATCACCTGGATTCAAGATAAGGAAAAAGTATTTCCTTAAGAGATTATGGTTATTTTTGATTGCAAAAATATGTAAAATTAAGAAATTCATTCTGAAGTAACGCGTAAATCAATAGTATAAATGATGTGTAGTTAACGCACACACATATATATATATATATATATATATAAAACCAAGCCCGCTTTACCTACTGCCAACATTTCCATCTATATTCTGGTACCTCATAACTGTCAAGATATATCTTTTTATTTAGGGCTATATTAGGCTAAAGACATTGCTTCAAAATTAGCAATGCGACTAGAATCGAATTCTCAACCATGTTTATGAAATTGTAAAATTTTTGTTTTCAGTCTGGCCAATAAAAAATATTTATGTAAATTC